AGTCGGCCATTTTGATTAGGTCATGCGACTAGCAGCTTTCTGAGGTGGAAACGAAACTTTAATTTCTATACGAAATCAGAAGATAAACGATGTACTAACCCCTAACCCTAAACCTGATCCTGACCCTAAACCTAACCCTAAACCTGAACATGACCCTAACCCTAACCCTAATCCTAACAATGACCTTAAACCTAACCCTAACCATAACCCTAACCCAAACCTGACCCTAACCCTGAACATGACCCTAAACCTGACCCTAAACCTAACCCTAACCCTGACTCTAACCCTAACCCTAACCCTAACCCTGAACCTAACCCTAACCCTAACCCTGAACCTAACCGTAAACCTGATCCTCACCCCAAACATGACCCTGACCCTAACCCTAAACCTAACCCTAAACCTAACATTAACCCTAACCCTGACTCTAACCCTAACCCTAACCCTAACCCTAACCCTAACCCTGGCCCTGACCCTAACCCTAACCCTAACCCTAACCCTCCACCCTTCATAATTGTGAGAAATAAATATTTTTGGGTTAAACTTGTTTGGACTTATTGTACAAACCTACCGTATATAACATCCACTATTTTAACATAATATTATGGATAGAGTGTAACGTGGTGTATGTGAGGATCTGTGTGTCTGAGGCCACTCACCCTTGGGCCGTGGGGGGGGTGCAGCCGGTGGTAGAGGCAGGACTTGTGGGCGAGCCGCAGCACCTCCTTGAACAGATGTTTGGCGAACTGCTGGAAGGAGGTTGTGAGGGCGAAGTGCAGCAGGAGGGCGTGCTCCTCGTAGCGGTGGTGGCTGAAGTAGATGAAGTTCTCCACGTTGTAGCGGCCGCGCAGGTACTCAACCTCCTGGAAATGACAGATTCCCCAAACAAAGGATTGGACTTCTCTATTTAATCACTCATTTTTTAGAACCCAACATCTGGAGGCTCAGAATAAATGTTTTTGAACGTTTGAGGTCTAAGTGTATTCAGTTTTAACTTTAAAATGGAAGATGAAATAATATGTAATTGCATGTTCCTTTAACAAGAGAGCAATTTTTAATTATTTATTTTATTTATTATTTTAATAATAACAACAACAACAACAGCAACAATAATAATAATAATAATAATAATAATTATTATTATTATTATTATTATTATTATTATTATTATTATTATTATTATTTAATTTATTATTTAACTGATTTTGATAAGCTGTTGGTACAGTTGTTCAAATAAATGTTTTTGAACATTTGAGGTCTAAGTGTATTCAGTTTTTACTTTAAAATAGTAGATGAAATTGCATGTTCGTTTAACAACAGAGAGCAAGTTTTCTTAAATGGATAATGTAGTTCTGTGAGTTTTTCAGATACTCGATTTCCTGGCCATGGCAGATTTCCCAAACAAATGATTGGACTCTATTTCATCACTCGTTTTAAGAACCCAACATCTGGAGGCTCCAAATAAATGTTTTTGAACGTTTGAGGTCTAAGTGTATTAAGTTTTTACTTTAAAATGGAAGATGAAATAATATGTAATTGCATGTTCCTTTAACAAGAGAGCAATAATAATAATAATAATAATAATAATAATAATAATAATAATAATAA